ACAGGATACCAGGGAGAAAGGGCTATCTCTGGGCCACAGCCTTTCATTTTAAAGGCAAAGATTCACTGTCTGAATCCAACTCCCCTCACCCAGAAGCCATTGTGCCTGAAATCCCATCCTTAAAGATCCTTAAGATTTTTGAAAAAATCTTTTTGAAGTAACTCAAATTAAAAAGGCAATCATCTATCATGTATTTATTGTGGCAAGTCACTGAGCAAAGCACTGTGGGACCTGGGAATATGGAAGATGGAGTCCCTGCAGTAATGCGGGCAGTGATGGGCCGTCTAGAGAGGTGTAAACAAGGCCCAGGCCAGCACAAAGAGGGCAGCCTTTGCACAGGGCCTAGATGGAGGGTAATGGGGACAGGGTCTAGAAGGGAGGGAGGCTTCCTTGAGGCCGGGGTAGCATGGAGAAGAGAGGCCTTAAGTCCTGGAGCAAAGGATGGGGTGTGTTAGGGAACAGTGAGTAATCTGGTGTGACCCAGTACTGCTGAGCAGCAGGGAGCCTGGCACAAGAGAGCCCTGAGGAGGGTTAGCCTCTGCCCCATCCCCCGTGGGAGGAGGAGCAGGATCCAAGCTAGAGCGGTGGGTGGAGGCCGTTGGGAGCATCTGGAATGCCCAGTCACCGCAGAGAGCGTGGAGACCCAGTGTAGGCGGGCTTGTCTGAGAATTTTCTCTCTGAGACATAAGCCTGGTGCAGCTTCAAGTTGAAAGTCACAGAGGTAAGAAGAGAAGGTGCCTAATGGAGTAGAGAAGAGACATTTCAAAGACCATGGGGGTTGCTGAGAAGACAAAAGGTGCCTTCAAAATTTGGGCTGGGACAAGCCCTGAATCAGAACACATTATTTAAAACGCCCCAAGGCCCACAGGTGGGAGTATAATCCTGAGTGGGAGAGACTTTTCTTTCATATTTATTTAAGTACTTTCACCCACATTATCTCATTGATCTCTTTAACAGCACTTTGTGCTAAACAGAGCAGATATTATTCCCAGTTCACAGGTGGAGAAGGTAAGGCCAGGGTAAGATGAAGTTATAGCTTCTGCTTTATTGTAACCATTGGCCTTTTGGGAGTGCACATTTGTTTTTGTTTTAAATTTGTATTTTTTAGTTCAAACATTCACATGGTTCAGAATTCAAAAGACACAGGTAAAAGTCTCTCTTGTCTCAACTCTGTTCTCCCAGGTTGCCTCCTACCAGTTTGAACCTAAGCCTTTGACTCCAGGTATAGCGCCCTTTCAGCCACAGGGGTGCGGGGCTCAAGAACACAAGCCCACTGCAAATTCAGGAAAACCTAATGCAAGCCCCACTCAGGTAGAGTTGTTTTACCTCCTCTTAGCAAGTGTATACATATGTATCCATATGGGACTATTTAATTGTCTTCTTTCATCTTTAGATTTTTATTTCATTTTATTTTTTGTTAATCCTCACCCAAGGACATTCCTCCATTGCTTTTTTAGATAGAGTGGAAGGGAGGGACGGCCGGAGAGCGGCAGAGAGAGAAACATCAATGTGAGGGAGATACATCGGTTGGTTGCCTCCCTGACTGGACAGGGGAATGAACCCGCAACTCAGGCACGTGCCCCTGACCTGGAATCAAATCCCAGACCCTTTGGTTTGCTGGCCTATGCTCTAACCACTGACCCACCGCCTAAGGTTCATCTATATATTTTTATCTTTAGATCCTAAACTCCTTGGAGCCAGGGAGTATGTCTTCAACTTCTGGGTGGTAGCAGAGTAGGGGTTAAAATTATAGTCTCTGGCACACAGAGAATTGGGGTAAAAACTGTGCTGTGTGAACTTGGGCAAGTTATGTAGACTCTCTGAGCCTCTGCTTTTTCAACTATTATTAACATGTCCCCACACCAACTTCACAGGGCTGATGAGGACTAGATTCAATGGCTCATGTCCCCTGTTTAACCTTATACCAGGCACAAGGTATGTACTCCGTAAGTGTTAACTACTATCATTCCCAGTGTACTATGAGCCTACTGTGTGTGCGCACAGTATGACAGACCCAGGTACCCTTTCAAACTTAATTCTGACAGAGGATTAGGGACCTCGGGCACCTAATTAAAAACAAATTGGCAGAATAGGCTACCCGGCCAATACTCTTCCTGGGCTGGGCCTGTCCGCCCTTTATGGAAAACCAGTCAGCCAGAGCTCTGGCTCAGCGACTGCTCTTTTTTCAGGTGAGACCTGGCTTCTCTGGATTGTCAGTCATTTTGAGACCAACAGAAGGGTCAAGAGGCCACCACCCCTGAGCTTATTGTGTTCATAGCCTTGAGTTTGAATTGATACACAGGGAGACTGCCATATGGCTTTTCTTGGGGCTGACAAGAATGACACATTAGAGGGTCACCAATGCCCTGGGGCAAAATGACTCACTGGACCTGCCCCTGGGCCTGGCTCTACAGCTGTCTGACCTTTGCCTCTCTCAGGGAAATACTCTCAGGCCCTGATAATTCTCCACTCGGAGGAGGGGCTTCCCCACCCCTACATCACTCTTTGTTAGAATGACCCAAGAAACGACTTCCCCCGACTTCCCCCGACTTCCCCCGCCCTACCCCCTCCTTTGTCTCAAATGAAAAGAAAAGGGGCCCAAGTGATGGGACCAGGCTTGCTCATGCATCTACTCTGTAGCAGAACCAGGACTTGAACCTGGGCCCAGGGTGCCTTCCGTGATACTTTCCTGGCTGCCACAAACCCCCACCTCCTGACGGCTCCTTTCCCACAGGGCACCCACTCACTGCGGCCACAGGCTCCAGGTCCTAAACACTCTGAGCAGTGGTTCCCACGGCCTTCTGGTAGGACAGTTACCCCTTTGAAATCTTGTTTCCAAGAAATGCAGAATGCTATCTCAGAGCTTGTGGTCCCCATAATGTCAATAAACAATGAAAAATTTGTTTACTTTTCTGTTAAAAGAGGCATTCCTTTCCTAGGCAACAAGTTTTGTAAAGAAACAAAAATAATATAGGCCATCAAGGATTAAGAGATAAAGAATGAGCAATGGAGCAATCCATGACTTCAAGAGCTGGAATCCACACCAACCTGGGGAGCGGGGACTTGGCAGGAGAGCTGTTACCCGGGCTGTCTGAGCTGGAACCAGAGGGAGGGAAATGGTGGTGCCGGGAAGAAAGAAAGACTGGGAACCGGGTGGAGGGTGTCTGTCGTGTCCCCAACTCCCTTGCATCATCCTACCCGCCTCACCAAACCCAAGGCCTCTTGTTGCCCAGAACCTCCATGTGCTCCAGAAAGGAGCTCTAGATCTACTCCCACCTCCCCCACACCTGCCCCTGCTCCAAGCTCCTATCAACCAAAATCCGCCCCCCCCCCCCCCCCCAGTGTTCAGGTGTCATTCATTGGTTGGCAGGATTTGAATAGGTTGCTTTCTGGAATAGGAACACTGGAATCTCTGGTGTGGCTACCTGCTGTCCTCCAGGACGGGGGTTGGGTACGGTGGAATGGAATAAGACGCACTGAGAGCTAGATCTCAGACTGGAAAAAAAGAAGAGCTTGCAGTTCTGTCTTTCCTTTTGAGAAAGATCAAAGTCTCATCAGTTTTTCTATAGCTTCCACCCCTCCAGAGATGGGATTTTTCCTCCTGTTTTATAGATGTGGAAACTGAGGCCCAAAGTGCCAAGCCCAGAGGCAGATCTGGGCCCAGAAGCCAGAAAGAAGTCCTTGTCCCTCCAGCCCCTGCTCTGAGGAACCAGAGGAAAGGGGCTGGGAACTAGGGCAGAGCAAGTGGGTTTGAGGGGAGGGGAGGCCCCAGCAAGCTCTGTCAGATCCGCAATGCAAGCTGCTCCAGAGCTGCCCATCTGCCCTGGGAGAGGGCAGGGGCCAGGGGAGGGAGCAGGCGAGGCAGCGATTCCTACTCCCGTGAAATACCAATGACTCAGGCTGGGTGGCTCCACTAGCTGGCCCAGCCCACATTCCCGGGCCTTTGTTCAGGCTGCCTGGGCCTAAGCCTTAAAGGGCCAGCTCCTAGAAGCAGGAGAGGGGGCCACCCTGCCCATCACCCGGCCTGCCACCCTGAATCCTTGATGGGTTGCTCCTAATTTCTGGGCAGTGGGTAAAAAGGGTGGCACCTTGTGGGATTTGGGGTTCATCCAGTCGAATTCTCAGGCTATAAAAGAGGATCCTCAGGTCATTTCAGTAAGCCCCCTGCCTCAGGGCAGGACTGCACCTGAACTGACCAAGAAGGATGAAGAAAACTGTTTCCCTCCCTTTCAAAGCAACTTTTTCCAGGGTCTCACAGTCCCAAGGCAGGTAGTGCTGGTTCCCCACCCAGTCCTGGCCCCATCTCAGGACTGGTTTATCCTTGGATTGTCATTGGACACCCGTTTGATGGGCTTCAGGTTGGCCTATCCAGACTTGTGAACCAGGCTCCCTGTCTTGGGCCTCCAGGAAATCTAGGTTCCACAGAGCCTGGCTGTCAGTGGAGTCCTCGGGAGGAGAAACACCACCCGCCGCCACCAGGGCAGCCTGGGTGCCCAAGTCACTTCTTTGGAGGCAGCGCGACACCATGTGGACACTGTGGAGAACTGGTGCCTTCGGGAGCTAGGACGGGCGCACACTGCAGAGCCTCCCACCACCATAGCTGAGACGCATCCTCAGTTGTGGAGCAATCCTGAACTGGCACAAATAAAAATAAAAGCAGGCCCTAAGTTAGGGCGGAAAGGATGAGGCTCTAAGATCAACTTAATAACAAAAGCCTAGAAGTTCTCATAAAACTTACAAATGGCAATATTTTTTGTTGAGGCCTGGGGACACCTGTGTCCCCAAGTCCCCACCCCCTCACACACTATTTGAATGTAAGGTTTTGTCTACTTTCATATACAACATTTCAGAGAAGGGGTTTTCTCCCTTGAAGCTTTCACAGTAATTTCACAGTTTATCAGATCTTGAACCGAGAGCTGGATTTGGAAGAAGGAACAAGTGCAAAGCTTGTAGCTACTGGGCAAACTGATGGTGGGATTGGGGGTGGGGGTGGGGGTGGGCACAGCCAAGCCGGGAAGCGGCTCTCGGGCAGAAGCACTTTGAATTGTGGAGAGGGCTGGGCTGCTCCACAGACTCTCACTTAATATGTCCTTTGAACCCAGAATGACCCATTGCCAAATGGGCTAGAACCACAGGTTTTAGCCGTGGTGTTATTGTGGGCTATTGGCCTTGGCACCGAACAAGCCCAGCATCCAGGAGCATCCAGAACCCTTGGATACCCCCTCCATCTACCCATCCATCCACCCACCCACTCAACAGCTATCCTGCTGTGGTCATCTGCTGAGGTAGCTCCCTGCCCCAGGCTGTAACATCTCTCAAAGTCCTTCCTTGCTCTCCTTCTCACCACCACTCAGGTTCGCTTCCTTGTCACCCTGACCCTAAGTCAATACCATACCTTTCAACAGGTCTCCTGCTTCTGGGCCCTACTGGCCAATCATCCCAAGCATCACTCCTAAATAAGTCTCCCTAGCATGGCCCCAAGTTCTCCCGAGTGACGGCAGCGTGCCTGCAGCACCCAGCCTGGATTTCCTGGCTCGCCCCAAGCGTCCAGCCCATGTGCCTGCATTGTAACTCCATCTTTTGGCGTTCGTGACTTCTTGAGGATAAGAGCTTTATTTTATATTTCAAAATCAAATCAAATGTAAAAAACAAAGGGATTTTAGCATAAGTGCACACACACATACAGGTGTGTTTTGATTTGGGCCTGTGTTTGACAGCCAGCGAGAGTGCCTGAGCACAGCTGTGGCCCAGTGCCGAGGGCTGAGTGGGATCAGAACTCAGCTCAGGATCCTTTTGCTCAGCTGTGCACCCGCCTTGGGGCCACAGCACCCTGGGAGAAGGGGTGCCTTTCCTATTGAGCCCAAGCCTCCTGCTATTGTCTTCTGAGAGGCGTTGCTCTCAGAGGAAAACAGAGTGGCCCTGGGCCTGGCCCGGCCCAGGTAAAACAGCATAAAATGAGTAAGGCACATTTTAGGAGCAGCTGAGACTCCTCCTGGCATCCTTCAGATGAATGTGTGAAGGTGTGACGGAAGGGCGACTCTACCCACTGTGAAATATAAATTACAACATAACATGATTTCTTTCAGGCCATAAAACTCAGCAGGGTGTTACCTGCCCTCACCTGGTTAGGAGTGAGTTTTAGTAACTCTCTCTCCTTTCCCTTCTAGAGCCTCCCTGGTAAACCTGTGCTTTCTCCCTTACAGCCTGAGAACCCCAACCCCGGGAGGAGCCAGCCCATCAACCTGAACCATTATGCCACCAAGAAGAGCGTGGCCGAGAGCATGCTGGATGTGGCTCTCTTCATGTCCAATGCCATGCGGCTGAAAACGGTGCTGGAGCAGGGGCCGTCCTCTCAATACTATGCTACCCTCATCACTCTCATCAGCATCTCTCTGCTCCTGCAGGTCGTCATCGGAATCCTCCTCGTGGTCATTGGTGAGCCCAGGCCTGGAGTTGGCCCCAGAGCCCCTTAGTGGGAAGATGAGCCCCAAGTGTCTTCCCTGTACCACTCTGCTTTGTACATGCCTACTTCTCAGCCATACACGAACCTGGTGTAAGCCCTCTGCACCTACAAATGCCCAAGTGACACCTACAGAGTGATGAGAGGCACCCTGCCCTACCTCTTGGTGCTCCATACAGAGGCCACTCAACAACACTGCTGAGTGACGCCCTCACTAACTTGTAGCAGAGTCCCATATCACCTGTGTGAGCATGCACCCCACTCAGAAGATCCGGTGGTAAGTTCCCAAACCCTGATTCTATGAAGCACCACATGGATGCCCCCACACTGGTGAGGGAAGAGGTGTCCAATGCAATGACACCACCTCCCTTGACTTCTGCCACATGGATCTCTGAGCTGCCAGACTTTCTCTGAACTCTAGTGGGTTTTGTGAGGGAAGCTTCAGACTGTAGCCCCACCCTGACTTTTACGTCTCACTCTCCACTTCTCCACAGCACGGCTGAACCTGAATGAGGTGGAAAGGCAGTGGCAATTAAACCAGCTCAACAATGCTGCCACCATCTTGGTCTTCATCACTGTTGTCATCAATGTCTTCATTACAGCTTTCGGGGCACATAAGACAGGGTTCCTGGCTGCCAGGACCTCAAGGAATCCTCTCTGAATTCAGCTTGGAACCTAGGTGAGGGAAGCGGAGAGGTCCTCAGGCCCAATGGCTCCCCTAGGCAGCCCTTTTCTCACCTCTGGGGGTTTAGGGTAAGAGAGAAATCCTTGCCACGCAAAAGGAGAAAGTAGATCTGGGACAAGGAGGGAATCCTGGAGAAGAGCTTGGATGGGGACTCAGAAAGGCCCCCAGTGCTGGTAACGATTCTTCTCCTCTAGTTTAGGCTCGGGTTTTTCCATCGCCTGAGATGGGTGGGAGGCAATGTGGATAGTGGTTGGCTCAACCCCTCCGGCAAGAGGCAAGATGGAGATGTGGGATTTCCCCCTTGGCACTGTCCAGCAGTCCCGGCTACTCAAACTGTGGTCCATGAACCAACAGCAACAAAAGCACCGGAAGCTTGCTGGAAATGTAGAATCTCAGGCCCACTCCCGCTCTACTGAGTCAGCATCTGCATCTTTGAAGGCTGCAGGGGAATCGCGGGCACTCTGCCTCACCGCCTGTTCTCGGCTTCCCCACAGGTACTGGATCTGGAGCTGCTTCCGCCTCTTTCTTCCCTGATCTGCCAGGCTGATGAGCACTTCCCCTGGGAGCTCCTGAAAGAGCCATGTAGATGCCTGCTTCCTACCACAGCACCCGAGTGAAGATGGGATAGTTTACTGGTCCAAGTGAATTTCATCTTGGTCCACAGGCCTGAGCTCAGCATGGGATAGTGCCAACCTTTGCTTCTGGTGGCACCTGAGGCATGTCGACCCAAGGCCGAGTCCACAAGCTTAAGGACTCTGGTTCTGACTTACTCCATTCCTCCCCTTTGTCCCATCCATTCCCGGGCCTATTTTCCCAGGTAAAATGGAATGATTTCTATCTATAAAAGTTTCTGCAAATCCACTGAAGTCAACCTTTATGCTTTTAGCTGCATCTGAGCTGCCATCTCCACCTGTGTCCTGGAAAGGGCTCAAAGGATCAAACTCCAAGCCTGGAATGAGAAAAGGCTTTTAAATCACTCCCTCTCCTCTGGATTGTGCTCGGAGTCAACTTTCCAGGCCCCACATGCCTTGGGCCAATGACCATCAGCTACACCAATGGCCAATTAGTCAGTTGTAGATTGACGCATGTACGCACACTCCTTTGGAAAACTCCTTTAAACCTGTTCTAGCTTTCATGTTAGCACCTTGTCTTAGGCATGTGTTTGAGAAATATGAACTTTGATTTATGCCTACGCCAAATGTAACTAGGGAGGTCAGTCTGCACCTGCAAAGCATCAACAGGGCATCCCAGATCAAGCAGAAAATATTTTTAAATTGTCTGCTATTTTAGAATAAGCCACACCTCAGCTCCTCTCCACTATTCCCCAAAACCATTCTGGCCCTCTTTCTAGCCTTATTCACCTGGGGTGTCCACCAGCCTCGCTCCTCTGAAACCACCAAGCTCCATTACCCTGCCAAACAGAAATGCCTGGTCTATCAGACTGTGAGCTCCTCACACGGCACCAATGTTGTTTCCTCCAGGAGAAAAACCACAGCACAGGCAGGCTGTCTGCCACACAGCAGGCATCAAACTAATGGTAATGGGTGGAGGGTGGCGTGGAAGGGTCCTTGGCACATCCTTCAGAGGCCGGATGGCCAAAGGACAGAGACATGAACCATGGGGCCCTCAGCCCAACCCTCTCCCACCAGGATAGGCAACAGGAAAATGCAAGAGCCATTCTGTTTTCTAAGAAGATGCAGTATTTAATGCTTTCCCCCCACCATCCCAGTCCCTCCCCCACCCTAGACATTTCCCTACAGAGTAGGAGCCCTTGCCAGGTCCTCCCCCTTAAGGCAGATGGTGTGGAGGTAACAAACACAAGGCACTGGCCAGGAGCACAGGGGGTGGTGGGCAGGGCAGGGGAGGCTGGGCTGGCCCTGTTACCAGAAGAGAAGCAGGAGGGCTGTTTGGACTGGCTCAGGCCTCCCAGTGAATGCCCAACGATGAGAGTGGCCCCAGAAAGAAACCTAGCACCACAGCTGGCCATCAGTAGCTCTGCCTACTCCCTACAGACCTTGCCCAAGGGCAGTGAGTGGGAGCAGGGACCCTAAAGAGCCATAGCCCAAGGGCAGGTATGGGCATCCAAAAGCCACTGAGTCACTGAAAAGCCCTGTGCTTCCTGATTTCTTAAGATGGAGGCAAGGATTCAAGCCTGAGGGTTCTCAACAGGCTCCAATCTCCCCTATGCAAAGTTTATGCTCTTGGTGAATACAGGGTCCACTAAGTAGACCCTCCAAATGCTGTGTCTGGGACTGACTGTCCCAGCAGGGGGCTTGGGCCTGCTGCCTGGGCCTGCCACACCGTCATCAGCCCTTGCTCACAGCAGGGAGCCCTGTGCTGGCCTCCCAGACAGCCGCAGAGCTCAGGGTCCAGTGTCCACTGCACTAGCGGTGAATTCAGCAGCAGTGGCAGAGGCAGCAGCAGCAGAGAAATCCCCACCACAAAGGCACCTGGGGATCATTAGTGCAAGATAAGTGTGTGATCATCAGGTAACAGAAAGGGTGGCCTCGACTATAAAGGCCGAGGGCTGTTTTCCCTGAACTTGCTTCACTTTTCAGTTCCTCCTAGTCCTACTCCCTTCCACTTGGGGAAGAGAACTCAGAACCACGTCCTCACCTCCCCAAACCTGCCACCCTGCTGCCTCCTACCCTGGTCCATTATATGGTTCCCTTCCACCCACACCCCTTCGTCTTCTTCCACTCAAGGCCATGGCTGGGGCTCTCCCTGCAGGACAGCAAGTCCGGGGAGCTGGGCTGCGAGGACTCAAAGCTTCCCACTTCCCTTTTCATCCCTTCCTGCTGACTCCGGCCCCTCCTCTCATCTACGTCATGGTTTACTTAGTACACCCACATCCTCTTTCCCCTCTGCCTCCTCCATCTTGCCTGTCCTGCTTAGCCTACATGCCCAACACCAGGGTGAGCCCACTACCCACCACTTCGTCTCCCAACCCCTGTGGCACCAGGAAGAGGATGCCAGTTCTGTGCTTCTGATGGGCCTGAAGTGAGCGCTGCCTGGAGGGTAAGGTTAATGCCCTAATTGGTGGCCAGCAGTTCGGTGACCACCTGGGAGAGATGTGCATGTCTCTGCAAGGCACGGCCGGGGGTAGAGCAGAGGAAGTGCTCCTCGTGGGCCAGCTCCTCTGGTTATAAATCAGCTGCCGATCACAGACCGAGGGACACAGCTCTACACGGGAGTGGGTCTGAGGTATGCAAGTGGGGACACTCTCTAAAGGCACCACTCCATCCCCCTCTTGTAGTCAATGCTGGGTCTTGGACAGTTAAGGTTTGCTTTTCTGATTAAAAAAAAAAAATGAAACCCCAATAAAATATGTCTAATAGAAGAGCTTCCAGTTCCTGGTCGCTGTTCCTGTGAGGAACGCAGGGTGGATCCTGGCACGCACCTCAAAGATGTAGGATGGTGTCACTCAAGCAGGTCTTCCCCTCCCTGACCTAACTGCACAGCCTCTGTGACTGTGAGCGAGCAGCCCCTCAAGCTGCCCTTCACAAAGTCTTCTGTCTTCCGTCTGCAGGCCCAGAGGATGGAGAGAGGGGCCTCGATAGCTGTCTGCAAGGGGACAGCTCCCAGTGGAGTGGGGGTGTTATGCTGAGGCCTTGGGGGCCCAGCCATGGCTTCTGCTCCCCACCTCACTTCCCCCAGCAGTCCACAGGGTGCTGGGGAGCAGCTGCGAGTCAAGGGGCAGGAAGTGGTCGGTCCAGTGGGCCACCCCTTGGGATTACGGCATCTTCATCTGGCGGCGGTTCCACATGCCTCGCTTGGAATGGAAGTGATGGAAGAAGTTCCTGAGGGAGAGACGGTCCACTTCCAGGCCTGCTTGGAGGATCCTGAGTGAGAGAGGGGCAGGATGAGCCACAGAGCACAGGAGGCAACCAGGCGCCACATCTACAACAGCCCCGTCCCTGTCTTCCTGTTTGTTCCCCGCAGGCAGGAGCGGGGTGTGGTGCAGAATGTGGGCTTTGGAGCCCGACAGCGTGAGTTTGAATCCCAGCTCCACACCATATAAGTCACATCATCTCTCAGAGCCTCAGTTCACTAATCTAGAAAGAGGATAGTGATATACAGGCACTCGAGGGTGGTGGCAGAGGAGAGATGGCAGACAGAGATGCTCAGCACAGTGCCTGGCACTCAGCCAGCAGGGGACACATCATTGTGTTTGACGGAGACAGAGGCGGGAGCAGACCTCATCCTAGCCCTCCCCTGTTCTTCTCCTACATGCACAGCCAACGGGGAGTCCCTCTCACAGAGAGACCTGTACTTTGGGCATGGGCGCAAGTTACTGGAATCTGAAGCAGTTTCTTTCCCCTTGGGCTTCAGTAGAGGAAGGAGGGTTGAGAACTGAACCGGGGTCTGCATCTTCCCGGCCGCGCAGGAAGACCACAGGTGGAGGTGGCCACTAGTCCAGGCTTCTGTCCACTTTGGGACCTACTTGGATCTGGCTTTATGAGACCGGGGCTATCTCATAGAAGCTCCCTCAACCTTCCTCCTTTGCACTTCAAACTCTCTTAGTATTATTATCGTCCTTTCCTTTCTTCCCTCTGGGGAAAAGGCATAAACACATGCAGCATTTATGCCTCTGACACTTACTAGTTGCAAGATTTGGGGCACATTATTAAGACTCAGTTTTCTCATCTGGAAAAATGGAGATAATTACACCTACCTCACAGAGGTTTGGGGAGGACTGAATGAAGAAATGGATGTGAATCACCTACCAGTATAGGCAGACACCCACTGACTGGTGGCTGCGTTTTGCCCTCAGGAAGCAGTGCATCTCTTCCTTGTCAAGTCCCACTGCCCAGTGCTCCTGACCTTGCCCTGTCCCCCTCCCCTGGACACTGTTCCTACAATGACACCCTTTCTTCCTTGGATTTTTACCCCCTCTCTCCTTTCCCCCCTCCCCTTAAGCTCAACTCTCCAAGTATCATCCTCTTTCCCGCCCCTTCTGTTGGCAGCAAATTTCCTGAAAGAGGAATCTCATCCTAATGCAGCCTCCACTTCCTCACACCCACAAGTTCTGTAACCCCTGTGACCTGGGGTCCCGGTCCAGCCAGCTCCCGGCCGTGTCCTTCTCTGAGGTTTTCCATACCCGTGACTGTTTCCTCCTCCCTGAAACTCCCTTCTCCCCAGGCTTCCAGGGACACAGACCTCATGGATGGCTTGTTGACCTTTAATGGTCCACACGACCTCTTTTGCTGGATCAGAAGTCTTTCCTGACTCTTTGGCCTGTCTCTCTTATCCATCCAACAACTTCATCCTCCTCCCCAGGCAGCTGCGGGGGTGGGGGTGGGAGGGAAGCGCTGACCTGGAGATGCAGCATGTGCTCCCACTGTGACTTGCTTGCTGCTCAGATCATTATCGTTTACATTTGTACCGGTCAGTTTTTGCTAACCTCATGACCGCTCATCAAGCACTTTCCATGCCAGCCCTGTGACAGAGACAAAGGCAGTATCCTCCCCTTTACAGATCGAGAAACTGAGTCTCTGCAAGAGAAGTAACTGGAGCCCAGTAAGTGGTAGAACTTCCTCCAAGTCCGATGCCTTCGCCTGCTTGTGGGGAACCTGCAGCCTAGGTGGCTGGGTCTAGGAT